CTGTACATTTACAATCATTTCCTCTCCTAAGGAGTAAACCATTACTCACTTTTATTTATTCCTAAACAAATTGAATTGTGACTACCTAATTGGAGTTGGAGGTAGCTTCATACTGGTCGTACTGCTGTGGAAGTGGTATGTACCATGTGGAGTATTAAACTGGATTTAACCCTGAGAGGAAATACAGTATCGGTCACACTGCTTTCTTACTTGGCATGCCAACTATACGCTCCCAAATAACTGTCTGTTTAGTGATAAAAATACAGGTCTTTTGTGAGCATGGACACAATACATGGAATCTGTTTCTTTGCATGAAAAGTAGAGTCAAAGGAAAAGGATTCAAATTCTGTTGCCACCTTTCGGTTCACCCGGGTGAGAATGTGCATAAACTCGAGCTTGTGAGCGTACAGTTTCAGCATGGCGCAAAGCGACTGGATGAACCAGGAGCCATCCTTTGAGTTTCGCCAGGAATAGTAACCTACAAGGCAAAATACAACCAGAATACCATGGACATCGGACTTTAGTTGACTCTATAGATTATTATGTAATCATAAAGTTAAAAAACCATAGGTCCTGTTGGCCACAAGAAAAGAAAATTACACCTTCAGTTTCAGGAGAAATGATGCTGTAGGGGGAAAAATGTGTGCTGTGCGTACATCTTCACTTTCAGAAAAAAGAAGGGAATTGTGGACTCGCTTTACCATTAAATGACTGGAAGTTTTACTTTCTGGGCTCCTGTTCCAATAGGCAAGAACTTAAACATGCAGAAGGCAGAAGATGCAAAAACAGAGATAAACAGGAAGACGTGATAAGTAGCACGGTGTTTCCATCTGAGTTCATCTTATTTCAGTAGTGACTTAGCCAAGAAGTAAACTGCCTTAAGTGTCCTGTCTACAGGGTATCTGAATGAAGTGTAACATGTTACAGAGTGTTCAAAAAGTCCCACAGGAAAAACTGTATTTATCGTACTTTTTTTCAGATTAGCTGTTAGACTCATTGCTTTTATTTATTTATTTTTGCAGTTTTTTTTTTTTTTTTTGGCTGGGGCTGGGTTTGAACCCACCACATCCGGCATATGGGGCCAGTGCCCTACTCCTTTGAGCCACAGGCGCTGCCCAGACTCATTGCTTTTAACTTAGAAGTAGGCATCTGCCTGGGAAGATGCCCAGAGGATAAAGGAAATCTTATTGTGCATATTTAAAAATGATAACACTGTTTAAAGATAGATTTAACTTCAACCTTCTAAGCTCACTGATGCTGAGTTAACTGTAAATAGTTGTATGAACTACAAGTGTTTATTTTTAATGTATGTGCAACACAAAAGAGTAGAGGTTACTAACATATTCGTATGTCATTTTTACTGTCTGTTCTCTCTTAATGCTAGTCATATTTATAATATTTATTTCCTATCTTCCAAAGAATTCCTGAGAAACACATGTCTCTTCTACTCTGGCCAGAGACTTTTCTGTGATTTAACATACTCTGAAATATTCTTTACAGATACCAAAATCTTGACAGTGTCTAGAACGTGCTCTTTATCATTCATTCTACAATTAGTCCCAGAGTCATTCATTTAACACGTACGGGTAACTTTCTTACCAGGTGCTGTGGAGTACGCATACAGGAAGTCAGCCTCCACGGGTATTTTCTGACACGCCATGTCATCCTCAGTACCACTGTCCGTCTCAATGCCACAGTCCAGTTCTGTACCTCGGCAGGCCTGGACGTCAGACAAGAAACATGTATTTAGCCTTTAAGTGGTGGTTTAAATGAATGAAAAAGTAACAATAGTTCATTAGCTGCGGCAGGAAAAATAAATCCTTTGGATAATTTATAACTAGGTAAATTAATCCCTGATTAATACTCAGTAACTAAAATTGCTCAATTACACATATACCTGAATAATGAAAAGTTTGGGTTTTCCAGTTAGACTTCTACAATAATCCCCTCTGAAGAAACTTGTTATTTTTTTCAGGTCAACAGGTCCATTTGTCCCAAAAATTATTCCTTCTTCACCATGGCTCAGAATTACACAGACAAAACTGCTCCTTTTGCTATGATCTTCTTTAGAAACTGGGAAAGTAAAAGCAAGAAGAAACCCAACCTTATTCAACAAGCTTAGATACACTGTGTGGAGATAGGATGAAGAAATTAAGAATAGATGACTTATCAGAGCTACACACCTCAGACCGTTTTAGGGAGTTGGCAGAAATGCCTTTTTCTACTTCTCACTGTCGTAGGTAAGATCAGGATCATGTACAGTGTAACTCCACAGTCCTCAAACCTTATTATATGTAGACATGCAGCTATACCGTAACATAAAATTGGACAGTGAAGGTCAGTGGTAATTATTTCTTACCATTGCGCATGAATGCCACAATTTCTTCACATGTAAGATCATTTTTATTCCTGACTTCGTATTTCAAGTTCATGAATGTTTCCCTGAGGTTTGCTGCATCTACATCTGTGCCTGACCGAGGTGGCATTCCTTGAAACAGAAAGAATTCATTTTAATTGAGAAGAAAGACTATTTTGAAATGAAGTTTTCAGCAACTCAAAATATTCACAGTAAGTTCTTCCCTTCAAATGCTATGAAAAGTCTAATTGTTTTGATCATGGTGACACAAACTCTTTTTAGCTTCTTAGTTTATAAGACATTTCATATTGGGGCAGCACCTGTGGCTCAGTGGGTTGGGCA